AAAAGTATGGTTGCAAAAGTGGTTGCAAAGGTAATTGCAACCACTTTTTATATGCTGTAAATACAATTACTACCATCCTCATAATTTACGGCACTAGCCTTTACAGGAGATCACCCACCAGGATTTCTGGTTCTATTCCAAGAAAATCTAGATTAAAACAAAGCAAGCAAGTTTTAATGATAAAATAAAAGCAGTTTAATACCTGCAAATAAAGATACTTCTTGAAAACTTCTTTTTTCATTGGATTTCCACCACTTAGATAATGTTTCTTCTGTTCTAGCTTTCTGTATTCATTTTCACACCATGTTACTAATTCTTGAGGATCTCCTAGAATATTGAAGAAATGGTCTATTTCGCATGCATTTAATAACTTGATGATTTTGAAAATTTAAAAGTTTTTAGTATTTGTCATTAGATTACAAAAAAAATTGCATGATTTGCTATAACATCCTAATTGATGATATAGGAAATTCACTGTTGTGTTAGAGTAGTTCAGGTCATATAATTCACTTTAACCATTTGTTAATGTTTAATACCTTTTTGCTAACATTTATCTCTTCTATTGTCCAGTTTTCTGCATTTTGAAGATTACGCAAACTGGTCTTAAATTGAGATGATTCCTTTGCAAAAGATTCCACAGGCAAACAAATGCTATTGTGAATTCTCCAAACAAGAAAGTCACAAATGGTAATGAGATGAGAATTATATTTGCTTAAAAAATTATCAAATGCATAATTGAAGGGCCACTTCTTTTGAGGTATTGAGTTATGAATAATATTAATATGTTTTGATGGAATAGTCCTTGGAGAATTAGTACAATCCCTAAGATAATGTTTTTTGTGATTGTTCCTATTATAATAATTTAAAAATAACAGAGTAACAATTGTGAATCAAACCATCCCATCCTTTTTAACAGCTAGAATTAGAATGACAATTGCAATTACTACTACCATTCTTTAATAACTAACTAGAGTAATGATGAGTGGCGGGCAATAACCACCACCATCCTTAAAACACTTACCCATGTTGTTCCTTGTCAGCTTGTCTGCTTCTTTTTCTGATTGCAAAAGACTTTTTTTTTAAAGTTTGTTATTTGATCAATGTGTACACATTAATTATTTATCCTATTGGTTTTTTTTTTTGGTAGGACAGATGCAAATTGGTTTTTTTTTTTTTGGAAAAACAATTTATTTTTTGACAGAGTCCAAGGTGACAAAACATGAACGTTGTTGTTTGGTTTGGGTCTCTTAAAGAAAACGTGTTAATAACTAACCAGAGGTACTACTTTTTTTTACTTGTATTGATATGTATGAGGTGTCTTTTATTTTAGCTTATAAATATTTTAATTGGAATCAAAACGCGGAGCAGATCT